GAGCCAAACCTCGAAAGCCCGCAAACCAACACCTCGAAGGCCCGAGCAGCAGTACACATGCGAACCCTACCCCTACCCCCCACGATTTCGAAGGGGGAGGGTGGGGTTCACTTCGCTCGGGAGCTCCCGAACGAGGTGAACCCCACCCTCGCCCTCAGAAATCGTGGGGGGGTAGGTAGGGGTAGGATGATTCGCATGTGGCCCCCGTCATGAGGATCGCCCGAAAACCTCGAGAGCCACACGCGAGACTTCCGACCTCCCCCCCTCGCCGCTCCGCCACCCCTCTCTGGGCATGGCCTCCCCGCGGCGCGGCGTGGCGCAGGGCTCGCCGAGCAGCGCCGGCGAGGCCTCCGGCGCCGGCGCGCCGACGGCGGGGGCTGCCAACGGTCCGGCTGGCGTGCCTCGGGCACCACCTGATGGGCCTGTTTCCCACCACCACCTCCACAAGTTGGAGGGGGAGGGGGTCCTCCTCCTCCTCCTCCTCCTCCTCCTCCTCCTCCGCCTCCTCATGAGAAGGCCGAGTCTGCGGCAAATGTTACTCGCGGGGGACGTTGCAAGTCGTACCCCACGGCACCTCAGCGGGCGTTTCGACGTTGACCCCCTCATGCAGATGTCCTGTCCTGTCCTCCTTCTCCTCCTCCTCCTTCTCCTCCTCCTCCTCCTCCTCCTCCGTCCTCCTCCTCTCCGTCCTCCTCCTCTCCGTCCTCCTTCTCCTCTCCGTCCTCCTCCTCGTCCTCCTCCTCCTCCTCCTCGTCCTCCTCCTTTCCGTCCTCCTCCTCGTCCGCCCTTTCGTCCTCCTCCTCGTCCTCCTCCAAGTCGTGGCTGGTGGTGGTGGTGGAAGACAGGCCCGACACCATCGGCCAAGAGGCTAGAGGGCGGCGGCAGGGCGCCCGAGCCGCGGGTGTGCGGCGCCCCGATGCGGTGGTCGCTGCTCAGTCCAAGCCCCTGCAAAGGGGGCGTTCGTCTTAAGTCGGACCTGTCCCCCTACAGGGGGATTTTCGACGTAAAATAAGAATTACCCCCTAAATTGGTCAAAACTCATTCCAAGAATAGCCTGGGGACTGTTTTTTGGATTTCCTGACCATTTTGGGATGTGCTTGTGGTATTTCTTATTTTTCGTCGAAAGTCCCCCTGCAGGGGGGCACGCCCGACAGAACGTTAGTAAGCTCGGGGGCGGACAGGCCTCTCACCCGGACGCGTCGATTCGTGAATTGTCCGTTTTCGGTTCTCGAGGGGGCGCTGCGGCCGTCATTTTCCAGGCTTGCGGCCGCCCGGTTTGGGCCCGAGGTCGTTTTCACTAAGCTCGGGGGAGCGTAAGACCCGGGTTTGCCAGGACTCGGGTTCGCCATCGTTTTTTGGCGACCGCGCCTCGGATTTTGACGAGGAGGAGTTTCGTGGGATGTCTGCAGCGGGAGGCCTCGTCAAAATGCAGGCTCGGCCTCGCCATTTTTTTGACGACCTCGTCGGGGATTTCCGAGTCCCCTGTACCCGGGTCTTACGCCCCTTTGATAAACCCCGATTGACTGGCCGGTAGCCGAGGGTCCGTTTTCAATGGTGATTTCCAACAGATAATTTGCCGCGCACCTGTGCGAGATACCCCCCCGCCCAAAGTTATGATGACGTATCGACGCTTTTGTCGCCCCGATGTATCACGCACGAGTGCGAGCTAAATGCCCTGCCATCCCGTTCTTGTTTGAAGAGGGGCCTTAGCTACCACCCCGTTTACAAGCGCCCCGTTTGCAGGGGCTTGGTCAGTACGCTCAAAGTGGGTACTGAAAGAAGGGGTATCGGCGTCACCCCAACATATTTATACACTGTGTGCGTCGCCCCCACCAGCGGCGACGCGCGCAGCGAGAAATCTTACAGTGCATGCGTCGTGGAGGGCGCTTACTGGCCACACCGCTCGGGAAACGATATACTACAAGACGGGTATACTATATGTTCGGGTCGGACGCGCGCATCAGGAGGACATATAGTATTAGTATGTCTATGTGCGTCCCAGGGTACGAAGACCAATATCGGACCCGACTGGGAGGAGGATAAATCCGTTTCAGAGGGTTCAGGGCGATCTCAGAGCGTTCCAGAAGGCTCTGAGAAAACCACGGCGCTCAATACTTCCTCCAGAGCCGCTGGGTCTCAGAGATTCTCGATTCATCCTGTCCATTAGTTGTCCTCGTCCTGGCTTCGTCGTAGGGTACGAAGATCAACACCGATCCCTGTGCATTTTGGACCGCACTCGTTGTCGGTGTCACTGCGGACTTGGTCCACGAACAGCGACCGCTGTTGGTTTTGGGCAACATCTGTTATTGTGCATTGCACAACTTTTTCCGGTACCAATTTCGGGCGTCCAAAGTGATGTCCGAGCCTGAAACAAACCTCTGTGCCAGTTTTGGAGTTCGCTGCGGACATCGCAGCGGCCACAAGTCGGAGCGAAGTTTCCGTCGAGGCATGCCCCTTCCCAGCCCCCCCCCGCTCCACTATGAAGACGTGGCTCACAATTAGCGATGTGGCGACGGAGAGGTCTCAGTTTATGTCCGAGATGGGCAGTCCTGTTTGGTTGGCATAGGGGTCGGCTCTCATGCAATCAGCAGGTGAGAGACGAAGGAAAGCGGTATCGTTGTCACCGGCATTGGCGCGCAAGTTTCTTGTGTAAGCTCGCGCGTGAGCGCCCTCGCTTCCAGTGTAGCGTGCCGCGCTGGCGGCCCGCGTAAGCCGCGGCGTGAGGTCGTCATGCCATCTCGCGCGAGACCCGCTTGTTGATCGTCGCTCAGGTGGGTCTCGCTGGTGGCGCTGACGCTGCAGACCACGGCCCAGGTCTAAGTCGGGCACGTCCCTCTACAGGAGGAGTATTTACAAGTAGTCAAAAACAGTCAGGGGACGGTTTTTGTCTATTCTTGATGATCTGTTGAGGATGCTTTGAGTCTTTTTTTGCTTTTCGCCCAAAGTCCGCCTGCACGGGGACACTCCCGACCGAAGCCCAGGTCCTTGTCATCAAGTGGGCCGGGGCGGAGCGGCGGGGCGGCGCGGAGCCGCGGTACCTGCCGAGCACGGTGGTGCTGTTCACCGAGGTGCTCAAGACGTGTGTCAGCTTCGCGCTGGTGGCAGCCGAGAGCGGCGGGCCCGCGGAGGCCCTCGGGGTGGTCGCCGGCCACTTCTCGCGGGAGCCCGTGGAGGCCCTGAAGGTCTGCGTGCCCTCGCTGCTCTACACCCTCCAGAACAACCTGATGTTCTTCAGCCTGGGGAGGCTGAGCGCCGCGGTGCAGCAGGTGACCTACCAGCTGAAGATCCTGACCACGGCCCTGCTCAGCGTGCTGATCCTGGGCAGGGTGCTGACCGCCACGAGGTGGTGCGCGCTGCTGCTGCTGCTGGCCGGCATCGCCCTCGTCCAGTGGCCGCGGGGCGCCGGCGCGGCAGCGCGAGTGCCGGGGCGGGGGGCGGAGGCGCTGGCGGCGGCAGGCTGGGGCGACGAGGCTTTGGGCTTCGCTGCCGTGCTGGCGGCGTGCTTCACCAGCGGCCTGGCGAGCGTGTATCCCAGAGGGGGAAGTCGGACGGCATGGGCACGAGCGTTCTGAGCTCCGCGCGGATCTCTCGGGTCGGCGATGGGGCCCCCCATCCTGGTGCCGCCCAGGGCTCGCTCCGCGCGCCGGGAAGGGGGGGGGGGTGCCAGCGCGCACGTCCAGGAAGTCCGTGCGGGGCCTCCGAGAGCTCCTGCGCGCCATGCTGGGAGCTTTCCTGCTCTGGCATCTGGAGAAGCTGCTGAAGCAGACCGACGCGTCCATCTGGCTGCGGAACGTCCAGCTCGGCGCCTTCGGCTCCCTGATGGCCGCCGTCGTGGCCCTCGCGGGGGACGGCCCGCGGATCGCCAGCGGTGGCCTCACGCAGGGCTACTCGGCCCGCGCCGCATGCGTGGTCGCCACGAATGCGCTCGGGGGGCTGCTCTGCGCCGCGGTGCTCAAGTACGCGGACAACATCTCGGGGAGGGAAGAGCGGTCGTAAACATAGCCTCCTCCTCCTCCTCCTCCCCCTCCTCCTCCTCCTCCTCCTCCTCCGCCTCCTCCTCCTCCTCCTCCTCGTGCTCCTCCTCCTCCTCCCCCTCCTCCTCCCTCCTCCTCCTCCTCCTCCCCCCTCCTCCTCCTCCTCCTCCTCCTCCTCCTCCTCCTCCTCGTCCTCCTCCTCCTCCTCCCTCCTCCTCCTCCTCCTCCCTCCCTCCTCCTCCTCCTCCTCCTCCTCCTCCTCCTCCTCCTCCTCCTCCTCCTCCTCCTCCTCCTCCTCCTCCTCCTCCTCCTCGAGTTCGCCGAACTTTGCGTTCACTGACGCTTTTTTGACGAGCCCGTGCTTGATTTTGACGGTCCAGCTGTCGTGGACGGTTTGCAGCGGGATCTGGCGCCCTGGCGTCGTCCCCGCACGGGCCGTCGGAGAGCCGCGCGGATGGCTCGGAGCGGCGCTGGGGCCCCCGCGGGGCGAGCGGAGCGCGGTGCGGGGGGGGGCGGGGGGCCGAGCCAGGATCTGCGCGAGGAGCCCTGGAAGTCTACTCCAGATTTCGTCATAAAAGGGAGGGGGTCTCATTTCGGGGGGGTCTCTTCCAGGCTATCTTGGAGGGCCTGGGGGGGTCTGGGGACGATGATTTGGAGGGTTCTCCCACGGGGGGGGGGGTCTGAAATGGCTTGTCTTGGAGGGTCCAGACCCCCTCCCTTGTATTACGAACTCTGGAGTATACTTTTAAGTCGGGCATGTCCCTCTACTGGAGGGAATGTTCAACATTTTCGAAAATCGTATAGGGACATGTTTTTGATTTCGTTTGCGTGCTTTGAATGTCTTCGTCCAACATCCGCCTGCAGGGGGACAGGCCTGACCTAAGTCTATGTTCATACAGTTCCTCCTTCCTTCGAACGTCCTTCGGTGTTTCAGCACCGCGCTCTCGATTGTCCTCACGTGCGCGGTGTCGTTCGCCGTCCTGCACGAGCAGGCCTTGGACTTGCCCTTCGTGCTCGGGGCTCTGATGGCCATCGCCGCCACGTTCCTGTACAGCGTCGGGCTCCCGGCGGGCCTTCCGGCCAGGCTCGTGCGCGTGAAGCCGGCCGCGGCGGAACGGTGACCGCGCCTCCATGCTCGGGCCCGACTCCTGCTTGGGCAATCAAGATCTTCTTATCAATCTCTCGAATCAGAAATAATTGTTCGAGGTTGATAGATCTGCTGCCCTGACACGTCGATTCGTGCATTGGCCATTTCCGGTTCGCGAGAGGGCGTCACGGCCGTTATTTTTGCGGGTCCAGGTCCGTCGGTTTCTGTCCTAGGCCGTTTTCACTAAAGGGCTAAAGGGTGGTTTACTAAAGGGAGGCTTGTCCACCGCGGAAAATCGGGCCGGACGAAAGGGGGAATGGGAAAGGGGGGGTTACGAAATCTGTTGCATGCAGCTGGTTTCGGTCCCGCCGCCGGGCCCATTCCTCGATACATGGGCGCTTCCTGGCGCCGGGAGGCGCGCGGAAAATCAGCTACGTGAGCTGATTCTCAAACCCCCCCTTTTGCTATCCCCCCCTTTCGCCCGACCAGAGACCAGAGAAAGCTGCATCAACGTAAGCTTTCGGAGCCCCGCGCGGGCTTTTTGGTTCTTCTCTGGGCCCCCCCTGGCGGCGCCCTCGGTGCCGCCCCTGGCTCGCCCCTCGCGCCAGGGAGGGGGCGGTCCTGCGCAGGGCCGAGAAATCCGCGCGACCCGTCGAGTGCTCATGTTTATGCTTAGGTCGGGCCTGTCCCTCCACAGGAGGAATATTCCAAAATAGTCAACAGCTTGGGAAGATTGCTTTTTTTGTTTTTGCATTATTTATGTTTTATTTGTCATCCAGAATCCGCCTGTATGGGGACACGCCAGCCCTGAATTTACGCAGTGCTTTCTTCCTCCACTCGGCGAGGCAGAGCATGCCAAGGAAGAAGTGGCCCCGGAGGCGAGGCATTTATCCACGCCCCCGCTGCTGCTCCTCGTGGGTTCGGGGCGTGGGCAGGGGCAAAGGAGAGCGGATCGATCGCCGAACGACGAGCACGGGTCCTGAGAGAAGCGGCCCCGTCTTCTTCCTCCTCCTCATCCTCCTCCTCCCCCTCCTCCTCCCCCTCCTCCTCCCCCTCCTCCTCCTCCTCCTCCTCCTCCTCCAAGCGGTCCGAGCCGGTTGCGCGCAGCGCGCCGCTTGCCGCGCCCGCCAGGTTTTTGATCTAGGTGGAGTTCACCACCCGCGAAGCGAGGCGAGGCCCGAGTCAGGGGGGGATGCCATGATGTCTCTCCTCCGTTTTCTCGGCTTCGATCCGTTATGGGCCAGCGGAGACAGGGTGTGTGAAGTGATGAACGAGACTCGTAGCTTTGATGCGGTGGATCTCGCGGGGACAAGGAATGTTGATCATCCACAGCAGGGGTTGAGAGTGCTGCGACAGAGGTGTGCGGGTCGTCTCGTTTTGGGGCCTCCGCAATCCATCCGTGGCGACAGGGAGAGCACTGGCGGCAAGAGCAAAGTGCGGAACAATAGACATACGCCCGATGGTCGTCTGTTTCCCTCCACGCCCGAAGTACCTATCTCAGAGACCGCAATACTTTGTGACGGTTCGTTTATTGGTGGGCCGGATCTCACAGGTGTTGAGCGTGCTGCCGCATCGGTGCACGCCGCTTCTATATGGTAGCATCAACGTCGGATTCGGTCAGTCTCGCGGGCCACATGGATGGGATGACGTAGGCTCTTCGGCGATCATAGACACCCCGACGCAGCGTCGGCTCCCACGAGGGGCTGGGCAACTTCTGCGTGAACGCATGGAGTCTTATTTCATGGCGGTTGGCAATACAGCGGGACAGATTCTTCATGTTTTCGGTTCAGAAGGAGCTTCGAGTATAATTGATTATGTTATTTCGTATATATGCAGCATCTAGTGAGAGGGCGCTTTCCAGTAAGCAAATCGGGGGCAGGCTCCCCGCGACCACTTGCCAGCGACGTGCGCGATGACGCATGACAAGTCTGTCTCGTTGGGAGGTCCACCAGCTCGGGGAGTTCGATGGAACCGTGACTCGACGATGGCCTCGCCGCGAGAAGGCGCATGTCGCGCTGACTATTTGAAGGCGGCCAAGGGGGATATTTACGAACTGCCCTCTTCTGTTCTGAAGGATCAGGCGCCCCCTGATGAGCTAGTCGAACGACTGGGGGATGCTGTTATCGCCGCAGGGCCACGTGTTTTCTCTGACTTCAGTCGCACATGTCCCACATACCAGGAGAAATGCGGAGCGTCGGCGACGCCTCCTGGCCGAGCGAGTTGGTCTTCGCGGGTCCAAGATTGGTCTGGATGAGACAGCCGCGGAGGAGGTGGACGCCGAGCGGCGCATGCTTTCTTCCATTCTCGCTGCCGAACGGCGTCGTGCTGCAGGAGCTCTCCGCCTCCAGCTTGTGGATGGAGGAACTGAGCAGTGGCGTCGGAGTGTCACCTTGGAGGCGCTTTCTTTGTCCAGGCGCGCGGCTCGTTGCAGAATGGGCTCGGAGAGCAGAGGCGGTCGCCTGGTACAGGGGCGCCCTCCCAGTCGGGGGGGGCGGCTCCAAGTCTGGCAAGCTCCCGGGGGCGAAGGAGGCACGGCTGTGGAGGAGGCTGACTGGGGGGCTTGGCGGGCGGAGAGAGACGGGGAGGTCTACGGGCGGGACTTGACGGAGGAGGAGCAGGAGCTTGCTAAACAAGATCTGCAGCGGATTAGGTCGCATATCGAGAGGGCGCCTCAACGTAGAGCAGTTCCAGAAGGTGGTGCACCATTTGAATTATGGCTCCAGCTACTCGACCCTAACTGGAGGGCTTCTCAGCTTACTGGCGGAGTGGGGCATGATGCGCCCACGCCTGAAAGTTCCCGGTTCCTGGTTGATCATCTCGGCGGGCCCCGCAAAGATCAGGCACCCCCAAGAAGGCCCCTACGTGCTGGCGTCGGATTATGGGCGCGGGTCCCTCCGCAAGTGCACAACGTGGGCCCCGAGGAAAACGAGCTGCGCATGCGTTGCCGTTCCCATGGGGGAGCTTTCTATTCCAAGTTGCTGAACGTAGTGCCCTCGCAACGGGATCGCGGCTTCGTCGCGCGCCGAAGGCCGGTGGCAGCTATTTGTATTGCTCTGGTGAGCTGATTGCGTGTATGCCGTCTGCGACGTTCTTTTGCGATGGGGTCTCACAGACATGACCGGCGCGTTAAGGAAGTTCTAACTGGTCTGAATTCGAGGTCGCGGTCGCCCGCGCCGCCTCGGAGGCGAACCGCGCCTTGTGCCTGCAGCGCCACGGGAATGGCATGGTGGAGTTAACTGTGGAAGAGGGGCCGCTCCTGGTCAAACCGCTTCATGGCGGTGTATGGGAGATCCTCTCACCGTGGCCGCGTTTTTAAGTGCGTTCTCTCGGGCTACTTTGCAGTGGGCCTACCAGTGGGGCCGAGTGGGCCTTATGTCTCGTTGTTTGGTTGCGAGGTGGTTTGATTTTCAGAGTGCTCATGAGCTTGTTGAAGTACGCAGATGATGTAATCAACGCCGTCGCGGCTTCGGATCATATGACCCTGGGGGACCTCTGGGAAGGCGAATGAGATGGACGAGGTTTTGGCTCCGTGATGTCGCCCTTCGGGCGCGCCCAGAACTTGCGCGCGATACCTGGGGCCCCGCATCCGAGTTCGAGATGCTGTCTGCAGCGGGGACTGCATTTTATCGCGTTGGCGGCATCTGGTCGCTGCCCATCCCCTTTAAGCCGCGCAAATGCTTGCTCGTGGGCAATGCTTTGAATGTTCCACTCGCAGGCCTCGAGGCGTTTGTCCTCAGCGCGGCTGGCTGTCGACGGCTGGACAGTTGCATGTGCTCTTTGGCTCGGATCGCGATGCTTTGTCGCGCGACGTTGCAGCTTGAATGCAAGGCGAGGTCTCCCTCCCGCTCCCAGGTCCTGTCGCATCGGGATATTCTTGACTGTGGCATCAGATTCTGGGGGGAGAGGCCAGATCACCACATCCAGCCGTTGCGCGCTATTTTCGGGGATCTCGGGGGCGGGGCGGGAGCAGGTCTCTCTCCGCAGTTGGTAGATGGTATTCCTCCGGAGGCGGCTTGCGCCCTGGATGTGTCAGTTAAGGCGCCACCTCGGGTTCGCTGCGGGCGTCGTCGGTTGCGAGGCGATCGACGTCCTGCTTGGGGACTTGAATCTGTTCAGCAAGGAGGAGATGCAGGAGTTTTGCATGATCGATGTGGGTTCTCAGGGCCGCTAGGTCTCGGGCCCATGGCGTGTGGCGCGCACGTCTACGGGGGCATGCGGGGCGTCTTTCCGCGCGCGGAAGTCACCCGTGAACCATTGCAGGGCACGTCGCAACGTGCGCTGTCTGGCGCGCGTTGTTGCGCTAACAAATAGACGCGTGCGTTGCAGGCAGATATTCGCAACAAAGATCACCGCCTCTCGGCGCCTCTTGGTTTCCATTATGAGTGGGTCATGTTGAACTGCGGGGCCTTGGGCGCGTGGGTCTGCAGCTGCCTCGGAGTCTCCAGTGTTCGCTGTGTGCATGTGAAATCGGCTGGTCTATCTGACCCATGTGACCATCTTGCTGTGAGCATCTTCCATGGGAGCTCCCTCCATTCAGTGATGACCCAGATGACAGGGCTGACGGGGCCATCCTGGTTCAAGGGGCGCGACGTCCCGAACGGGGGCGGAGAGGCGATCAGCCCATGGGCAGGGCGCCCCCAAGTCGGTCAAGGCGGGCAACGGCGGGGGCAAGGGCGGCAGGGACATGTCGCGCACGGTGGAGACGGTCGTGCGCCTGCTGCTCACCGCAACCCGAGAGCCCGCGGACTTGTCCAGCTCGGTGTTCCTCAGGAGGGGCACCGCGCTCGGTCGGGGCCTCCATGCGCAGCTCATCGCAGCGGGGAAGTGATGCGACGACCAGTCCGAGGACATGATGGCAAGGCAGGCCGCGGGGGAGGAGCAGAACTGCAAGGGGGGGGGCGCCACGCATCCACATATTCGCAGCAGCGATGAAGCGCTC